ATGTAGTACCAAGAAATTATAAGTGGATATAAAGTGGGGGATCAATTCTACATTACAATCAATATATAAACTCATTCTTCACTTTGTGGCCACGGTAGTTTCTATATATTTATACTCCAGAGAATGTAAATAAATCTAAAAGACATGCCTGTTTTAATATTTCATTGGTTAATTGATTTTTCTACGGATTATCAACCCTTTGCAGTTTATTTAAAACCAGAAAATATTTTTAAAATATGAGCATTTTTTGTTGTTGAGATTATAATTTACTGATGGAAGTCTTAATTAACTGATAGCTTAGAAGAAATGGATTCGTACATTTCCCAAAGGTATTTGCGCGTAAGTGAATATAACTTGAATTGAAATTCGACTGTCCGATCAAAAATTCCGGGCCTCAATTACACAACCCGGGCATCCAAGCTTACAGCGTTTGGTATTCCAAAGCTCCCCTACCCCAATCATCTAGATACTGATCAGACTCGATGTTGCTTAACTTCGGTGATATGTACAAGACCCGGTCTTTCAACCTGATGTGTCCGGAAGCCGGATCTAAATGAGATACTTCTGTATGTGTGTGAGTCTTAAGGGCTATTTTTTCGTCATTACAATGCCTTAATGCCTGATATAACCTACTGTTTTGGGATGTGCTTTTGATTACAGACTTCTTTTTTGAAAATGAGAAATATTCTTGAATTTCGAAAGAGTGTAGGTAGCAATCAAAAGTTAAGCCTCAATGCCAAATGAAGCTTTATTACGTTTTTAGCTTTTATTCGCAATGGTTTACTATTATAGTCGTCGACTTTATCTCGTGTCCAAGATTCTTTTTCCTTTGCCGATACATTTATTTAAGATGGTGCCGTTCATGTCTAAATTTGCTGTGGCCCGATAACAACCGTCCGGTCAAATGTCTCATTGCACCAGCTACATTGCACAAGTTAGCATTTTCAACTCGTGTAAGAACTTTAGCTTTATTCGGACTATCGTCCTCATCTTTGTTGCCATATTTATCACAACATTTCGGCCGCTGTACGCTCTGGCCTTCTTCAGTTGGAATGTCGAACTAAAACCTTTATTTCGCTCGCTGGGGTAGACTATTCTAGTTCCACGTGCCATGTCTAATGGATGTCAGTTATCACCTGTTAATTCCCTTCTCAAAATTCTTCACTGCCTTAACCAGGTATTGAACTCACACTCTTTGGGTCCTGTCACTGGATCTAACTAACGCCTTTATCCACTGTGCCATGTGTCCTCAAGGGTTCAGTTCAACATTCCAACCATGTCGAATGGATGTCAGTTATCAGTTATCTTCGGTTAATTCAACTCTCCTGTTCTTCACTGCCTTAACCGGGTATTGAACTCACAGTCTTTGGGTTCTGTCACTGGATCTAACCAACGCCTTTAATGGCGTTCTTCAGTTGGTTGGAATGTCGAACTGAACCCTTTATTTCGCTCGCTGGGGTAGACTGTTCTAGTTCCACGTGCCATGTCTAATGGATGTCAGTTATCAGTAATCTCCTGTTAATTCAACGCTCCAGGTTCTCCACCGCCTTAACCAGGTATTGAACTCACACTGTTTGAAGAAGGACGGAGCGTACAACGGCCGAAACGTTGTGATAAATATGGTAACAAAGATGAAGACGATATTCGGAACAATGTAAATAATGTACATAATCCCTCATTTCAGAAACTTTGGCTTTGATGAGAATTAAAAAATCGTGTCCTCCCACCGGCTACTGTCAAGGGCTGAACGTGAATGACGGCCACCAGTTAATATTTTTAAGTCTTGTAATGGGTGAATTTTAGAATTAAAATACTTTTTACACGCTCTCGCTGCACCATTAGCTCTAAATATAAGTACAATATGTACGAGTTAATATACAGACGACTGTTAGATTCCCAATCGCAGCGGGAAGAAACACATTTATAATTAAGGGGATGTAAGCTTGAGTACAAGCAGGAAGGGAATTAATGAATGTGATACACTGAAAAACTTAAAGAGATCATGTTGCCTCAAACGTCTGCCGATAACTCGATCAGTATTTTAGTTTTTTTTTTTTTTTTGTTTTTTTTACATAAGACGTCTATCGCCTCAAAACTTTAATCTTCATTTGGCTGGTTGATTGACTTTGTTTAGCGGCATATAAAACATCTATGGGTTATTTAACGTCGAATTTTAAATATTTTCTACGTAACTTTACGCCTTCAACTACAGATAAAGTGTATTGTTGGTCACTTTGCTTTAAATATGTATTGCTGGTAATTTTACTATAATCACGGGTTTTTGGTTGCTGGATTTTATTTAGTGGCATATTATCCTCTATGAGTTATTTAATGCCGAAATCAAAATATTTCGTACGTATCTATATCTATATCTGTCTATATCTCTGAGATGAAGTATTATGATTACTTGCACTATCTACATTACCCGGACTGTTATCCCCATCTTCATTGTCATATTCACAACGTTTCGGACGTTATACGCCCCGGCTTTCTTCAGGTGATTGGAAGTTCGAACCGAACCCTTTATTTCGGAAGAGGCATGGCACGTGGACTAGAAAAATCTACCCCGTTGGAGGAAATAAAGAGATCGGTTCGAAATTCCGATCACCTGAAGAAGGTCGGCGCGTACAACAGCCGAAACGTTGGGAATATGCTAATGAAGATCAGGATAACAGTCCGAGTAATGTACATAATTCACGTACAGATATTTTCTACATAATTTTATGCTTTTAGGGTAAAGATATCTTTTGAAATATATAGTTTCTAGATCATAAGATATATTGTAAGTAACTCTTTTTTAAATGTATTGCTGGTAATGTCACTACACAAATGTATTTGTTGGTAATAAAGTATTTTTGTATTTTTAGTGCTCTGTTTATTTACATTTTCCTATAAAAATACTTTGTTGGTCATTTTTCTATGAAAGAGTATTATATATATATATATGTATATATATATATATATATATATATATATATATATATTAGTGTACGACTGATTGACATGTTGCTATAAAAATGTATTGTTTTATTATAAAAATCTACTATAAAAATGTACTAATTTTTGTTTCCCGGTTCACTAATTGTCCATACATGGGACCTTAATAGGTGCTACCAACCCGGGTCAGGGGGGGGTATAACGGCAGATAAGAGGGTATTCCTCACTCTTCAAAATCTAAAATCGGAGGCCTTTATTGCCATACCCAGTACTCTCCCCATCTAGTAAATGTCAAAAGAGGTTACTTTAACGTCCCTCTCTTTGAAATTAACGCTTTGTCTTCATTCTTTTCTCCGGACATTGGTTTGCTAATTACTAGCTTTGCAACGATGCTGTTCAGTTTTTAATCGATTCAAAGCCTACACACGTCAATGAACAGAACCGCGATGTTTCAAGGTGTTTCAATGCACAGGCCTAGCTATCCCAGCCACCAAGTAATCTAAATGTCGATGAAGAGTAGCATAGAAGTTGTGTAGACGTGTTTTCAAGGAACATAGAATCGTAAACGAGATCAAACACGACGCATAACCTCCTAATTATTTTTAACTTTCGAATATAGATTATTAACCAAATTCCTGAAGAACGTTCAAAGTATAATTATAAATTCAACTTTTGAAGTTAATTAGAACACGTCAAGTGTTTGTTGATTAAGACCGTAATATGTGCAAAACACGCACGAGTTTCAATTTGCGTTGTCATTAAAAGTTGGTTAATGCAAATCCTGTAAAAAAAGATAGAGAATTGATGTCAGTTCTGTTCTTCCCTGGAACAAGTAATTAAATATGCAGAGTTTACACGGAAAATTGCACGGCAGAATAACCTACCTATTATTTAAATTAGTTTATCAAACACACGCAGGCGTTATATATATATATATATATATGTAAATATACCTGGCGGACTTAAGCAAGTGGATGACAGAACGTGGTCCGGGGGATGAAGCAGAGGGAAGTAACTTGTTGAGAGCTGCAAGGGATAGGGTGAGGTGGAGAGACATGATCGCCTACATCGTGAAAGGACACGCCACATAAAAAATATATATATATATATATATATATATATATATATATATATATATATATATATAGCGATGGAATCATACTTATTAAAACATAATTATAATATAGGCTCTACTTGTGTATCGAGCACTGTTTTTTAAAATAAAAACGAAAATACTAAAGAACATAGGATCATCAATCTAACGGTTCTTTCTATTTCATCAATATTTTTCATATATATATATATATATATATATATATATATATATATATATATATATATATATATATATATATATAACTATGAACCTAAAGAGCCAGGCAAACCTACCTAGATCTTCGCGGATCGTCAGAGTAGCTTGGATTCTGGACAATTGTTTTCGCCTCAATTACAAGTTCTTAGTTCTTTCTTTTTTTATCCCTTATGTTCCCTTGGCTATTGGTTTGTTCATGTACAAGCCAAAAAAAACACACACACACATATATATATAGTATTAAGACGTGCTATATTTATGACATGAAGTACTCAATATCAGAGATAGAGCTTGTGTAAATATATATATATATATATATATATATATATATAGAGAGAGAGAGAGAAAGAGAGAGAGAAAGAGAGAGAAAGGGGAGACGGGAGAGAAGGAGGAGAGAGAGAGCAGGGAAGTTTTAGCTTTATTTGGAGGCTGAGTTAAGTTTTGTACGAGGCTATGCTGAAAACATTTCGCCCGAAACTGCATCAGGGTTTTTTTTTCTGTCCGAATTTTGATTGGTTGATTATTTAAAGACATTGTTGTTTTAGTTTTTAAGAATTTCGTTTTTAGATAATATTCATTTTCTAATGTATGTTTTACTATTCAACGCATAGCCGGGTCGAAAAGAAGTGGTTTCATGCCTTTCCTATCAACAAAGATAGCGGCAATAATCCATATAAATGATATAATATTTTTGCAGAAGAGAATCATATTCAGATAACTATCTAGAACCTCTCATCCACTGAAAACTTACGGTTGTATTAGGTTGAAACACCGGTTCCCGTACGATCATGGAAGTTAAGAAACGTCAAGCCTGGTTACTACTTAGATGGGTGAACGAGTAGGATTCCCAGGTGCAGTAAGCTTGGATGTTCGGGTGGTGTAAAGGATAAAGTTTCCGAATTGGAAAACAACTACATCAATAAATCATTTTAATTCCTAAAATAACGTGTACAATTCCATATATTGTAGTCTGTATCGATATATGTAAGAGAAATATTGTTCTAGGTAAATACGCTTCGAATATCATGGACTAAACATGTGAGAAACGATGAAGTTTTAGAAAAAAATTAAACGAAAAACATACTTAAAATTAGAATAAAAAAGAGACAATTGAAATGTCTATGCCGCATGATGAAGAAAGAAGGTTTGGAAAATTAAACACTCACAGGATATATTGAAAGCATGAGAGATAGAAACCAACAGGTAATAACCCACCTAACGTAAGTGGCAGAACAGGAATTATTTGAGATAACAAAACCATTTCTAAGAGCTATAAAAGACAGGAAGTTGTGGAGAGTCCTGATCATCCACGTCCTAAAGAAGAAGAAGAATGCAGTATTTCTATTATAATTCAACTGAAACATATTAATACTTATATAACAAAGTGTTTAGGTGGTCTTGCAGAAGATGGCATAATCTTCACTCGACGGTCTTTTCCCTACAGAAGAAACGTCACCTATTATAAATCTGTTGCTATTTCCATGGCAAATGTTCGTATTAGCTCCGTTTTTTAGTTGCATCTGTTGACCATGTTTGCCGTAGTCTCTGAACATGGAATCCAGTGAAGTCCGTAATCTCTTCAATATCAGAGGTTGGCAGTGTAGATTCGGAGAAAGTAGCGGCTGTTAAGTAATTCTTTAAGTCTTCGATATCAGGTTAGCAGTGAAGATAATTTGGGAGAAAAAACAAAATGGCTGCCTTTATACACGTCGGATTGAATATTTTGAGCTTTCTGATTGGTTAACCCTTCTATTGGTGGACTATAAAATGAGTCAGCTCATTTTGGCTAGCTCACTAGTACTTACAGGGTACCCCAAAATTCCAACAGCACCAGTACAGATCCATAATGCTAAAACCACGCTTATTCTATCTCTATTAAGTTGAATTCCGCTAAGATTGAACAAGTCGAGTACACTCAAACACTCGGTCACGATGACTGTCGCTCTACTACAAACCCTCGCATCTCGACCGTATTGCGCATATAAGAAGGACATTTTACTTAGACAACTTCTTTCGTCCCAAACGTCAACTTTGTAAAAGAGGCTCCGGCGTGGATGCTCCATCGAACACTACAATCTTATCCTCTTCAAACCAACGGTCAATCCTTATCTATCCGCCTTATTCTCGTCATCATATCAAACACTTCATTCATTATAACCATTTTAAGCAGTTAAACTCTACCCTCAGTGGCTCTCGGGCTTTATTATTACCGACAGTTTGTATTAGAAAGTTATGCATAACTATACATCCGTATATATACACACCCATGTATATATAAATTTCATATATGCAGTCACTAAACCATTTGTGTTTGATGTCATCTATTTATTAACGTAATTATACGATAATGGTGTTTTCGGGATTTTGTTTTTTATCGAAATCACACAACGTGAGGAGAATTGTTTTCGATTCCTTAGAAAATCGATATATACAGCTGTATTTCTGAAATGAATTTGTTAAAATGCGCTGGACTAATATAGTCTCCTCTATAAATTATAGAGTGTTTCTACTCGGTGACATTCGGATTTCACCTAGATCCCAACTCCGTAAATAAATCTGAAAATTCAAATTATTTTGGCACGTTGTTCTTTGCCTTTTTTATATTTTCTTAGAGAGTTTTCCGAAAAATCTATCGAATTTATGCAACATATAATTCGTCTAATCCAAACACATAAACACTTTCGGTCGGGTCCCAATTAAACGAAATATTAATTTTATTTGCTTTGAAATTTACCAAAGTTTTAAGTGAGCTATTTTAAGTGAATTTAATCGTTTCATTCATCAACATTAAAATGAGAAATGCTGAAAATCTTATTCTCCAAACAGTATAAAACTATTATCTCTCTCAGCCAGTTGAAATCAGCTTCACTTGATAAATTATTATTATTATTATCATTATTATTATTAAAGCCTAAAACGCACACATTTTACATAGCTAAAGTTCTTCGTAATGCGTGAGCTGTATTTTTTTGTATTTCTTTAAGGCATGGGCTACCAGGAATCCCTCCATTGAGTCTATCGGGAACTTTTCCAATCAATCCGAGTTCTCCAACTATAACTGGAATTACTGATGTCCTCATGTGACACATTTTTAAGATTTTCATTTCAATATTATTATTATTATTATTATTATTATTATTATTGTTGTTGTTGTTAATATATTTCAATTTCTGTTATGGTCACACTACCTACAAAGTTTGTGCGAAGAACTAAGGCAGGTAGGTGTGTGTTTTTATGGCTACATTAACTCTCTTAAATCACGAGGGTTATATGGAGGTAAAGTTCTTCTTAGTGTGTGGTCTGTACTTATCAAGACATTTTTTGTATTTCTCTAAAGCTGGGATTTTTCAATGTGTTGTTGTGTTCCTTTTTTTTATCATTCCAAGCGTACCTACTATGACTAGTAGCATTCTTGTTTTCAATCACCACATTTTTTCTATTTCGATTTTCAGGTCTTTATACTTCGATAGCTTTTCCAATACCTTGATTAATAGGTTACTGTTCGTTGGGCAAGCTATATTAATTAATAGGCAAGTTTTTTTTTTCTTTTTGGTTTTTGACAATTATGTCCGGCCTATTTGCTTTAATCTTCCTGTCTATAAAGATGTGTTTTCACATTTGTCCATTGTAAACACTGCTCCACTCTATCATGACGATTTTTATATTCATTTGGCGCAAGTACAGGACACATTCTGAGACTAGATAGTCCATGGTTCCCCAATATTTAATGTATGTTGGATCCACATTATTATGTATTGTGGAATCTTCCATATTAACCTTACACCCCTTTCGGAAAATTGCTTCCTTCTAAAAAACAAAGTCATAACAATCAACATTTCGTTTCAATAAAATTCAATCTTCTATTGGTTAGAACTGTAGCAAAGTCACAACAGAACCTTTTCCCGCCTAAGGTCCCTGGAGCCGAATTTTAAACACCCAACTCTATATAAACAAACACATGACTCAATTCAAGTCAGTCATCATCAAATTTCAAGAGATCCATACAAACTCCACGCTGTTCAATTTACTGACTGACTCGCATCCACTTAAAGTTTCTCAACAAACTCAACTAAGCATTCAAATAACCATTGTCCGCTTGGATATTTCATCACCTACAATTGACTTAAAGAGTGAGCATTTTCACGACGTCAAAGTAATTGTACATTCATCAATTTAGCCTATCAGTTAAAGGCAAACAACTCTTAGCAACTTTAATTTTGACTCATAAATAACACACGCCTACACACACAAACAGTCGAACAATACATTTTGATATTTTACTACGCAGGAACAAAAATTATTTTAATTTTAATAACAAGCCAAAAGCATCAGCATTTACTTACCACAATTCTTCATAACATTATCTCAATTACCAAACCAACAAAAATTCTGTTTATCTTTGCATGTGTATTTATTGTATATAAAAATCTCTTTATTGTTGATCTCTAATCACGTTGTTCAGTCATTCCTTGCTATGCAATTGTCCTTATGTTCTTTGTGTAATCTATTTATTGCGGAATAATTCAAATTGCAAACACGCATAACTTTCGCCATATAAAAATTTACCTTCTGATACACCTACCTTAGCATACGATCCGCAACAGTAAGATATATGCCTAAAGATCTTAGTGAAAAGAATCTGGTCTTTCGCTGCACGAATAAAGTCGTCCGTTTCAGCCTTTAATCCAGTTGCCCTTAACCATCAATGAGTGTTAACTTTATCAACATCGGCTTTATTAGCCTCGTTCTGGATATCGGTTTTATTAGCCTCGTTCTGGATATTGGTTTTATTAGCCTCGTTCTGGATATCGACCATGCAGAGGTCTCCTTTGCCAGTGTTGTTTCATCTGCTCAAGAGTTTTATCCTTGATTTTCTTTTTCATATGTTTCCTGCAACAGTTGGGTTCTGTTTTGGTTTTATACAGAATATATTAAATGTAAATCTCGTTTTTATTTAAGACCGCCTTTCATGATTGAATATTTTTTCTTTCTGTTTTCGTCTTGTTTAACTAATTGTATCATTCAGGCCTTTCTTGTTTCTATGTTTGTTAGTAAACAAATAATAGCTGTCCTGTATCATAATTCTAGCTGAATAAGACCTGTTTCATCTTCTTTACGGAATGTGTAAAATGGGTCTGCATCAGTCTCTGAATGATGTATTCTAGGTTTTAGTCTAGTTCATGATGTTGAAATTAAACTGAAAAACTGGGATTGCAAGGCTTTTAATTTCTGAGAATTAAATTCAGTTCTTAATATTAGTCGCACTCTTCTACAGTACTCTTTTTGCATTATTTCTTTCATTTTGTGGTGAATTACTTTGACTTCATTTAAACCAAATTATTTATAAGCTTCTTCTTGCTCTAAATCTTTGATTGTTACCCCAGGGTCTAAGCTAATAAGGTGGTTTGCTGTAGTAATCTTCATAAAATCGTGGCTTTAGAACATTTATCCAAACATAATTAAATTCCAATCTTATACTAAAAAAATTTACTATTTTCAGAAGAACTTGTAACTCATTGTCATCCCTAGCATATATCTTTAAGTCATCCATTTAAAATAGATGGCTTATTTAATTTTGAGACATTTTATTGTCATATACCGTTCTGTTACATTCGCTGGTTAATTGCTATTAAGGATATTCAAAATAGTAAAGGAGACAAAGGGTCACGTTGAAATATTCCACTGTTGATGATTATTTCACCAGACTTATAGACTCCATTTACATGATTGAGTTGAAGTGTTGTTTTACATATCGACATAGTTTACTTTATGTAACTGATGACGGGTGATATATTGTATATATTTATAGACTTTAAGATCCAGGAATGGTGTACACTATCGATTACCTTACGTTAATCTAG